ACTTTTAAAAATTTATTGAAATTTTATTGAAATTTTATTGAAATTTTATTGAAATTAGGAAATTTTTTTGAAAAATTTTATAATTTTATTTTAAATTAATATGTAAGAAATGTGTCTGAATATAATATTTACGCATTCGTGCATGCGTAAATTAATATTAAAAAAATTACACAAAATAAACATATAATTAATATAAATTAGATGGTTACATTATTGATATATTGACTTTTTCTTTATACATTATTTTTAGTGTTTTTCCGCTGGCGCTGAAATCGGACAACATAAAAATAATCACGCTTATAAGTTTATGGTGAATATAAATTATAAACAAAAATTATTAAAAAATTATTCTCTCTGCCAAGAACCAATAATAATGCATTCCTGTATATATTGTGTTAGGATTCTGGTACCATTAACATATTCAATGGTCGTGGCAATTGGACTGCCAGAGAACAGTTGAGACTTCTGGATGCAATCGAACAATATGGATTTGGGAATTGGGAAGATATCAGCAAACATATCGAGAAGCGTACACCAGAAGGTAATTGAATTGATTCATGATTCAAATACAATGCAAGAAGTTCGTCACAAATCCTCTAGAATTTTAAAATATAGCTTTATTGTTTTTTATTGTATTTTATTTTTATTGTCTTTTGCATGTTGCAACAATTTATTTTTTATTTTTTCAAGGATGATTACTAAGATGATACTAAATATATAATCATGATTAAATACATGTTTTGAATACTTATTTTTAAATCATATTTGAATATTTCTCTATTTGAAATTGTGCGATGAGTACATCTGGAAATCAAATCCAGATCTTTTTTGTGTTGTAAATAATCGCTCTAGCATTGAGCTATTCGATATCCCATTATTATAGAATTTTATTGTTATAGAAGCGAAAGAAGAATATATTGCTAGGTATCTTAACGGTAACATCGGAAAGCATACATGGCCACCCACGGATAGTTACGTACCAAATCTTACGGATCAAACGAAATCTGATCATGGTCCTTTGTCGCCTGATCTCACATCCAGATTACCGCCATTGGACATTACCCCGGAAGAAGCTGCGCAATTAGGTTATATGCCTCAACGAGATGATTTTGAGAGGGTAAGAATAAATGAATATTTCTCTTGAATTCAGTTTGATTCTTTTTAGAGACATGCTTTAATAATCATATCTTCTTTCAGGATTACAACCATGAAGCCGAATCTCTCGTTTCTTCGTTATCTTTGAACCCTGCTGAGGACGATGATCTTGATATTGCTCTTAAATTAGCGCAAGTTGATATGTATACCAGTAATCTTAGAGAACGAGCTAGACGAAAACGCGTCGTGAGAGATTATCAACTTGTATCTGCCTTCTTCTCATCATCCAGGAAAGACAAAGGAATAAAGAAAAAACAAACGAAAGAAGAAAAGTACGGTTTATATTAATGTACTTTTTTCTTGATGTTTTACGACGAAACATTTTGACAGAATGCGAATATTTAATTCTTTCGCTTACTCGATGTATTAAGCATTTCATTTATTTAACGCAGAGAATTTAGGGACAGAATGCGTGTATTCGCACAGTTTTACACAGCACAAGAGCACGAACAGTTCCTAACAAACCTCGAGAGAGAAAGAGAGTTGCGCTTACGGCTCTCGGAGCTTTATCGATATCGCGAGAATGGCATCACGAGACATGAAGAATGCACTCATTTCGAGCAGGTTCTTGCGCAAACTCAAAGACAGAATGATACAGCGGATCATTGGAATGAAAAAAAATCTGTAAGTATGCATTTTTCTATTTTTTATAATCTTCCGTTTTGTTGTAATGTTGTATGGACATAGAATGAAAGTAATTTTATGTGTGCGTGCGTGCATGCGTGCGTGTGTGCGCATTTGTGTACATACACATACGTATATATATATATAT